CAGCATTTGTTTTACCTGCAGGAGACGTGTGGTCTCTCAACCAACACCAACACCTGCAAGGCATCTTCCCTGATCATGTATACGGTCATGGTTCCGCCTGAGCCGTCCGGATTGCTCGTCCGTCTCTGGCCGGCGGCCCCTGGGGGGATTGTCTTTCACGATGCTAGTATCGCTGATCGTCGTACCGCACCTGCTCACTGACACTTGCAGGTTCGTGACCGGGCTCCTCGACGGGCACCAGGACAAGCAGCGCAAGCTGAGCATGTACTCCGTGGCCAAAACCATTGGTCTGCCGGCGACATTTGTGGAGCTGCGTCACCAGGCTACGCATGAGCAGCTGCCATCCCTGGCGAAGCTGCGGTCCGCAGCGAGGAAGGCTCTGGCGTGGATTTGGGAGTACTACTGGCAGCACCTGGGCGCGGATGAGGACGAGGAGGAGGTCATCGTTGGGGACGCCGCCGCGCGTGGGTATCGTGAGATGGTGACGGCGTACCTGGAAGAGGCGGAGGGTGCGAGGAAGGCTGAGCGGAGGAGGCTGTTGGGCAGGCTGGACGAGAGCCAGCTGCTCACGGCGCTGTCGCAGGTCATGGAGGCGCCGAGGGATGATGCAGTCTTGCGGGGGGCTCTGAGGTTATCGAGGGAGCTTCTGCACAAAGGACAAGGAGAGATGGAGGAGCGCGAGGATGTTGACCTGGAGCAACAGGTCGAGAAGATTAGGACGCAGATTTCACGGAGTAGGGACGTCATAATGTCGGACGCGAGGGACGAGGAGAAGGCTGCTGAAGATGCGGAACATGAGGGCGATGAGAGCGGTGGGATCGGTTGGGCCAAGCACGAGGGCCCTTGGAAGCCGCGTCCCATCGGCGCTGCCTGAATCCAGCCCATCCGTAATTGAAGACGACCTGATACCATATTCTTGACTATGCCTCCTTCATTAGCGGTATGTTGACGTCGAATGTTGAATCCAAAGTGACGACGTTTTGCTGCATCACGTGGGGGGTTATGACGATGAGTGAGTGGAGGAGCAACGTACTGCAGGGGCCCCCTCCTCAGATTTGTAATAACGTCACCGTGACTTGCCGCTGAAGCGCAGTCAATACCACCACTCGAAGCACCGACGACACGACTTCTCACCACTGCAATTGCCTTTCATGAATCCCCTCATCGCAAGGAGGCCATTTCTGAGACACAACCTCGCTACCGTAACAGCAGCTGTAGGCATCTATCCGTCTTAAGGGAAACATTTGAAGGAGGGGCCGTTGCTGACAACTTTTGCAGCTTACATTCACCAACGCCATGCATATCCAGTCGATTCCCATGTGTGCGTCGTTCAAGTCTCACGATGTTGTCCCGGTTCTGACGCGATCGTGGATGTGTAGGGAAGGGTAGTAGCAACAACTACGCCTACCTGGTGAAGGACGACAAGACCAACGACGCCGTCATCATTGACCCGGCCAACCCGCCCGAGTGAGTGACCCCTCCCGCCGCGATGTGGTGAAGTACTCAGCCAGTGTCCATGAGCTGACAATGTTTGCGCCAGAGTCACCCCCGTGCTGGAGAAGGCCCTGAAGAACAACGAGATCAACCTCACCGCCATCGTCAACACGCACCAGTGAGTCTACCTCCGAGTTTCGACTTTGGGGGAGAGGGCACATCCGACTAACGACTGGCAGCCACTGGGACCACGCGGGCGGCAACAAGAAGCTGGTGAGTTGTCTTTTGAGGAAGACGAGCATGGATGTTGCTGACATGCCGCAACAGCGTCAGGAGCTGAAGAAGCCCGACCTGGCCATCATCGGCGGCAAGGACTGCGAGGCCGTGACGAGGACGCCCGGGGACGGCGATTCGTTCAAGATTGGCAGCATCGCGGTCAAGGCGCTCTACACGCCGTGCCACACGCAGGACAGCATCTGCTGGTTCATGCAGGACGGGGAGCAGAAGGTCGTCTTCACGGGCGATACGCTCTTCCACAGCGGTGAGTGCCTCCCCCTCCCCTCCGTTCCACCTTTGCCGTCGCGACTGACACCATCGACACAGGCTGCGGCAAGTTCTTCGAGGGGACCCCGGAGGAAATGCACAAGGCGCTGAACAAGACGTTGGCCGCGTTGCCCGACGACACTGTCGTCTTTGTGAGTTTGAGTCCCTGATCGGCGGCATGAGTGAGAAGCTGATGTCGGAGCCAAGCCCGGCCACGAGTACACCAAGTCCAACGTCAAGTTCGCCGCGTCGGTGCTGCAGAACGAGGCTATCCTGAAGCTGCAAAAGTTCGCCGAGAACAACGAGGAGACGCAGGGCAAGTTCACCATTGGCGATGAAAAGGTACGTCCCCTTTATGAATGGCAGATGGATGAGTGGGCCGCTGACTTTGATGCAGAAGCACAACGTCTTTATGCGTGTGGATGTGAGTCACGACAGTGATGCACCAAGAGATGCGCTCCAGGCTGACAAGAGATATTAGGACCCCGAGATCCTCAAGGTTACGGGAGAGCAGGAGCCCGTTGCCGTCATGGCCAAGCTGCGCGAGATGAAGAACAACTTCAAGTGAGTAAGTGGTAGGCTTCATTCCCCCTCGTCAAGTTACATAGTCTCCGGTCGAGTACTACAGTAGACTGACTTGTGAAGTCCGCCTCCCGAGTCAAAAATTTGATGTGAAGCAAGCGGACGGGATGTGGGGTTCAATACGGAGGCGCGGAGGTGATACCAGTAGTTTACGAATCATCTCTACTAGACCACATGGCGGCGTAGACTCGCTCTCTAGAAGAGAACAAAATTCATTTGCAGACATCTTCACATCTCATCATCAGCATGTCTCCCGAAGGCCCAAAGCGCCCGACCGAGATCGATCGTGCGACTGGTGTAGCCCAGGGAAGAGGCGGTTCATCCTGCGACCGCCCCCGTTTGTTCAATTTTGCTTCACTGTCCACACGTGCTCGCTCTGGGTTTTGGAAGCGGCAAGCTCTAGCATATTTTGAAGCGGTTCGAGAGAATAAGAAAAGGGGAAAAACGGCAGACGCCGTGAGGTTTGTCTGTTGGGCCTCCCGAGAAAACGGTGTATGCATCCGTCAAGTGTCGGGATGTCGAGGCCCGCGGCGTGCGGAAGGCATGTTCCGGCCGCTGGAGGGTTTCTGGAGATGGAGAAAATCTCGATGGAGGTCTGCGTGGGCTGCAGAGAGGTGCCGTCCGTTGCGGAGGCTGTAGACTGCGTGCGGCCGCGTGTGGGCTTTGCAGTGGCATTGTGTTTGTGCCAGAGTAGGCGAAGTCTTTGCAGGGCGATGCTGCTGTGTTTTTGCCAGTTCAGGCGACTTGTCTGTGCCAGAATAGGCGTGTCCCGCCAGTGTAGGCGCGCCAGTACAGGCGTGATGATCTGTCGAAGCGTTTTACCGTCCTCGATGAAGTTGCGCATCCATCGCGTGGTGCAATGGATGGCTGTGAAAAGGTGAAGTTGTGGAATCAGCCCAAGCCGTTGCAGAATTTTATATCCCTATTGCGGCGGGGCCGGCGATACGGTGCTTGGTGGGTGTCCGCACGTGCCATATACACTGTGTGCGTGCCGAAAACCAATCAACGCGTCGTCGCAGAGCAAAGCGTCCCGGCGCATGCATCGTCATCGGCGTCCAACTCACGCCTCACACCGAAACCGCTGTTCTCGACTGCCAGACATAACCACAGCATATTTCCAAACAAACAGGAGCAAACAACACATTAATTCACAATGGTAATCCACCTCCGGCCCGCTCCCGCACCCGCACAGCTAACTCTCCCCCTCCCAGCCCGCAAAGCGCAAACCGCCAACGGCCGCCTCCGCCGACCCGCCGCGCCCGCGCGCCTCGAAGCTCGCCAAGGAGCACAACATCTCGGCGCAGGAGGAGCGCGAGATCCGCGAGGCCTTCTCCCTCTTCGCGGAGCCGATGCGCGGTTACGGCAAGGAGGGCGTCATCCCGACGTCGGACGTGCGGTCGGCGCTCGTGGCGCTGGGGATCCCGCCGGCCTCGCGCGCCGAGCAGGCCGAGTTCGTCGAGATCCTGGACCCGGAGGGCGAGGGGTTCGTCGGGTACGAGCCCTTCTTCGCCATCTGCGCGCTCAAGTACCACCAGCGGGAAACCAGCGGGGCCGGGGGCGAGGAGAGGAGACGGGAGGTCGAGGAGGCGTTCCGGCTGTTCACCGGCGTGGGGAGCTCGAGCGGAGGGCGGGACGTGATTTCGCTGGCGGATCTGAAGAGGGTTGCTGGCGTGCTGAGGGAGGACGTCAAGGATGAGGTGTTGAGGGACATGATTCTCGAGGCCAACGGCGGAGCGGGGGTTGGGAGGGGCGTGAGGAGGGAGGAGTTTGAGGAGGTGATGCGCCGGGCTGGGGTCTGGCGGTGAGGACGAGGAGGTGTGCGCATTCGAGCGTTGTTCATTATACCCCGCGAGGTGTTTGGCGTTTGGCAAGGCATGGCATGGCATGGCATGATGATTTACCGTCTACAGGAGGTTCATGACGGCGGGCAGGACAGACTTCATTTCATCAAATTTCACGAATCGCGCAAAACAGGTTGTACCAAGGTGAATACCGGATATAATAATGATTCTATCTGAACTCAGTGCAGCCCATGTGGTGTGGGGGTCGGGGTGTTCTTCCACCGCCCCCTGGTTGGTTCCATGCTCATAAAAACGCCCTTGAAATATGCATATTCCGGCCTTTCCCTTGGTTTTGCCATGCGTTGTGTGTGTGTGTGTGTGTGTGTGTGTGTGTGTCATGACCAGACGTTGGAAATATGGATTATTACATCCTCGTCTTATCCCAAGTCAAATACAAAACCCTCCCGTATGTGTGAGATGATGAGGTTGGATGGGTTCATGGTGTCCTCTCCGTAGCCTATTTGCTGGCCGGCTTCCTTTTGTGCAAGAATAGAACGAGAAAAACGCAGAGTAAAAAGAGAATCGTCGTCGCACGGCACGCCGCGCCTGCCGCATACGCTCTGTTCAGAACGGAGCAGAGTGAGGCACGGAAGCGGCATACTAAGCCGTCGTGTCGGCGGCGGCAGCGGCTGCCTTCTCCTTCTCGGCGGCCGCCTTTTGCGAGTCAATGACGGCCTGGAGCTCGGGGGGCGCCTTGAAGCCCTGGTGATCCTGGTGACGCTTGTAGAAGTAGTTGTCGGGCTTGGGGCGGAGCTCAGCGGGCAGCTCCTCTAGGACGCACTCGAGGATGGCGTCGATGGACTTTTGCTTGGAGCCGTCGCGGTGCCAGATGGAGATGAGGTGGGAGTTGAAGCGGACCGAGAGGCCTACGCCACAGATCTGGTCGTCTAAAGAAAGGCATTCCGTTAGCAATCCCGCAGTCTCTCCGCGTGTGTGAGCAGAGGCAAAGGGACTCACTGTCATCGAGGACGCTCTGCAGCTTCTCGCCAATGGCAAGCAGCTGCACACGGGTCCAGACGTCCGGGCCAATGTTCTTGGGGACGCGGAAGGTCCAGGCACCACCGTTGATGTTGCGGCGGTCCTCCCAGATGGGCTTGAAGCCCTGCTTGAAGAGGTAGATGGACTCGCGCATCTTAATCTGGTCGACGGGGGTGTTGTTGTTGTACTTCCAAAAGTCCTGGACCGACTCGATCTGGGAGCCGAGCTGCTCCAGCTGCACCTTGTACTCCTCATCATTGCTTGCCTTCTGGTCCTTGTTTTGCCTGCGAGAGAATGGTGTCAGTCTGGTGCTAGGACCTCGGCGAGGCTCAGGGGGGATGGTGTTGTTCGTTGCGGGGTTGGATGCGCAGCAGGAGAGCAAACACGCTGGATGGAATCTGGGCAGGCTTACTTGTCAAAGTAGACGTTCCAGTAGTGTTGTGTCGGCAGCGGGCGCATGGCCTTCAGGAAGTTGCGCTTCGCATCGTCACGCTGGTCGGCTGGGGAGCTGACGCTGGGCGAGTTGGGGTCGGTGGTGCTCTGGGACAGGCCCGAGAGGCCACGGGTGAAGAGCGCTGGTCTGGTAGCCATGGTCGCGGTCGATACGAGGGGTATAGAAGAACGCAAAGAAGGACGAAGGGCAGAACGACAGACTGAGAGTAATAAGAGGTGTCAAGAACGTGAAATGTCGGGCTCAGGAATAAGCTATCGGCTCGTACGTTGTGGCCGGCTGCAGCAAGACCTAGCACCTGGTCGGGGATCGGGGGTCGGGTGGACGTGGCCGAGAGAGAGAGAGAGGGAGCCGTTTGGCTTGCTGTTCGTTCGTTGGCTCGGTGGTCTGCGGCAGTGCCTAATGTAGCAACGAGGGGCAGAAGTGGGCAGCCCCCTTGTGGCTCTTTAGTGGAGGGACTGGGGGGTTGGACGACGTGGGCTTATTGCTGTCGTTGCTGTTGGTGCTGTTGGTCGCTTTTGACGGCGGGGTCTGCGTTGCGGTGCGGGAAAAGAGGCGTCGTGGGCTGTTGGATTTCACCAATGAACAGCGACCAAAGTCTTGAGTGGTTGGTTTGGCGGATTCAAGGGACGGTGGCAGGAGCAATCGAGGGGTGGCGTATTCTCGATTATTCAGAGATGAATCTCGGCGATGGCAAGAAATCCACACAATATGCCCTTGTTGCTTTACAGCTGCTGACGCTTTGTATTCCTCCAATGTCGGCCGGGCTCAATTCAATTCGGGCACGGGACGAGATAAGAACGAAACCGTAAACCGGAAAGGAACCCTTTCAAAAGAGACAGGTTGAGTGAGAGGAGGTCGGAAACAAGGGTTCAGCGGTTTACAGCAACGGCGGACGGCGACAAACAACAGGTTTCTGCAACTTCTGAATGACTCGACAGTCGGATCCAGGGAGCTTTGTGTCAAAGAGAGGTGAACAACACGACAAGGCGGCGACCGAGGGAGAGGCGGTAAAGGAGAGGAAGGGGAAGAGAGGAAGAGAGAGGGCAGTAAGGTTGAGGGTAATAAGTATCACCAACAATTCGGTCCTCGTCTTTCGTCGTGGCCAGCAGCAGCGGCGCCTCCCTCCAGACACAAGCACCCCCTACTCCTACTCGTCTACCGTGCTGCATTTGTCCAGGTACCTCACCAAAGGAGACAGCAACCCGGAGGGAACACGACACAAGACGATACGGCGTCCAGGCGCCGAGGTACCTTTCCGCGTCCTCAGCTTAGCTTTCAGGTACCGTACCTGACCTCCCCTCTGGATGTTAGGGGAGTTTGTCTGGAGATTGGACAGGGAGCATCGGAATCCGGTCGAGAGTCCTCTGATCTGAGGTCTGAAGCGCAACAGAGCAGGGAACCTGGCAGTTAATTGGCGAGTGACACCGGAAGGGGAAGTCAAGGGACCGGGGACCAGGCACAAGAGGAGGGGACCTGGAACCTGGATCTCATCTTTGCGACCGTGATACCGTCCCGAATGGAACTTGGGACTTGGGATCATCAGCGACGACGAATAGGGGCCCTGCCGGCGCGACACACACTGCTGCTGCTGTCTGTTACTGGTGCTGCTGCTGCTTGCCTGGCCTTGCCATCAGCCGTTCCTGCCGCTGCGCGGCGTAATAAGTGGCAGCAGCCAGCAGCAATAGAGTACGCCGGTCATGACCCTAGGGTGACATTCCGTGGGCCGTCCGTCCCGAGTCTGGAGACGTGCGTTGCTCAGTGCTGGAACTGACGCTAGAGTCAACTGGTACCGAAAGCGGCGTCAACGGCGAGCAGCAGCGAGAGATAGATAGACACGGAGCACACAGCACACAGAGAGGACACACAAGACACAAGATACAGAGACAGAGACAGGGCAGAGCCAAGGTAGAGAGAGAAGCTTGGTGGGAACATCTTACCGGCCTGAAACATCGAGCCGCCTTTGCGGCCAGTAATAAGACGTTGCGACGAGGGGGGAGGGGAACGGGGGGGCTGCCGCGGGAGTGGGAGCAAAGACCGGATGTTCAGGTTCGAGAAGCTTGCTGCTTGCTACGGCACAGCAATGGACGATGGCTGCTGTCCCTGACTTGCTGCTCAATGTTCGCTGTCCCCCCCTCTGAGGCAATGGCGTGCCGTGCCCACGACAAGGTGCCTATTCGTCAGGTACCTTGCGCACCGGCGACAGGGACATGGGCCAAGGCATGTGCCGTGCCGTGGAAATGCAGGGTTCACCGGCACGCGCCCCAGAGAGCAACGAGTTTAAGTGCACCGTAGCGAATTGATACGGATGCCGTGCGAACGTCTCCTCTCCCCCAATCATCCCGATATGAATTAAGGAGGCAGGCACTCGACTGTTAAGGTATGATGTGCATCTAAGCCGACGTAAGCTGGAGCTTCTCATATTCGTCTTGGTTCGGATAATCCGTTCGATGGCCCCAAGGGTCTGGAACCGGGCCTCTGCGCTCGAGTTGCACGTCATGTCAGTCAGTACCAAGCACTACGCACTACGCGGTAACCTCGCTCAGGTAACGTGCTCAGAGATTGACTTTCCAACGTCACAGACGCAGATGCACCCATGAAATCAATTGAGTTGTCGGCGGAAGTACACTCCGCTTCGCCCTCTCAGCAGCTTCGGAACCCTCTGCGAGCTTTCCACCGGAAGAAGAAAGGAAGGACCGAGATACCGAAGAGACAAAAACCATCCGGCCATAGTCTCAGATGCCCATTCGTTCGCTCCCCCGACTTGAGTCTGCCCCGGCATCGAAGCCACCGCGCAAAGTAAAGACTAACTTGAGATGAATCTCAGGGGCCCAGATCGAACCTCTCTTCGATTTTGCCTTTTGCCCACCAGGCATGATGTGCAGGAAGTTCTCCCGGCCGCGTGTGCTCACCTCGCCCGTCCAGACAATCGGTTTCCCCCCGCCCATTGGACTGAACTAACTGACCCCCATTGCCAAACGGTTACATGGTCTCAGACACGTACCAACGCTGTCCTTTGCGCCCGGCTGTTGCGAAGCGGAACCGGCGAGCAGTCACTTCTCTGTAATAGATGGGCTGGTGACAGGTCGCAGATCACCACATCTGACAGACAGATCATTCGTGTGCCCTCTTCCCGTGGCCCCCCTTCGAGACAACGACGCGCGCGCAACGTTAAACAACTTGAAGCGTTTGCCAAGCACCGCTCCTCTGCAACTATACAACTCAATACGCCCATTCTCAAACTGCACGAACTCAAGGTCCTGAACACACAAGGGATAACTCCATCCAATGTCCCAAGAGTCCAAACCCAATCTCCACACAGAGAGACAGACCACACAACAGGCATGAATGGGCTCTAGCGCTTCCGCGTCAGAGACTGCCGCCAGATAAACGACTATACTCGTCCAGAGTCCACAACTGCTCTCCACGACTGTCAATCCAGTCAGTGAACGGGATGTTGTGCAGACTACGGTTGTACTTTGCGCAAGTGATAGGCACGTCTCGCTCGTCCCGTCAAAGTTTCTACTCGCCGCCGTTGCACACGTTGCCGCCGGATGGCGGAAGAACCACGTCAGAACAAATCATAGTTCGAGACAAACGCTCTTCCGTCGTCTCTTCCGAAAAAGCCTCCTTCCCTGGGAGGGGGGAGTTCACACGTTCGTTCCCAACCAACCCTAACAGCGGGATCCCTTCCATAACGCTCCTCTCTCTCGCCGTGCTCGCCCCTTTCAAACCGTACCTGAGCTGCAGGCAGTTGGGACGGGGATGTCCCCATCACGCCGGCCCGGCCGCTAACCATGCCAATCGGCCCTGACAGCACGTGTATCGTCCACCTTGTTCCATGTTGCCCATCTTGAGGCACCGTCTGGATGGATGCCTAGTTTGAGATCACGTCTGTGTGAGGGAGAGAGGACAGGAGCCGGAGGGGAGAGAGAAGACCCGCCCACTTCCCTACGAAATGACAGCCCGGCTGTCTTTGCTTCACACGTTTCGATCATGACGTATCCATGGAACTTTGTTATCTACATACATTTGGAAGGGCATTTCTACTTGTCCCATACTACGTTATCCTATCCTACGTTATCCTAATTCGTCTCTCTCATGCCGTGCTAACCTAACATACGGGCTCGTGCATGTGCGAAACGACTGTCGTCCATAACAGCCCTGTACCCTGAATCGAAGACTCCCTAAACACCATGCTGTTATCATCGTGATTTTGACACCACACGCACATATACCAATAGCCGCACTTGTTCGTAATGCTCCTTCTTGTCTCCTTACGCATTCAGCGCACCTGCCAATACGTCGCCAACCCATCGCTCCTTGTCGTCTCCGATTTTCCGTCTGAACATGCCCAAGTCGCTCAGCAGGCTGCGCATATAATCCTGCATGTCGTTGGCATTGTCCTCAATGACATCTGAGTCGTAAGCCGTATCGTCCGAGTCGTCGTATAATGACTCGCCGTCCTCGGCATTCTCCTTATCCCCCTGCCCCGCCTTGGCCTCTTCAGTCTCGTCTTCCTCTTCAGTTGCCGGCTTGACGGTGACGGCGGGGATGGGGTTCTTGAGACTGTCGAGTGCCAACTTGAGATGCAGACGGAGGGCTTCATTTTCCGTCTGCAAGCTCCGGATCTTTCCCTCTGCGACGAGGCTGCGCTCCTCCATCATGCGCTGCATGGTCACCACGCGGTTCTGGTACTCCTCGAGCTTCTCTTCTTGGTCCATATTGTCCTTCTCGCGCCGGCGCGACTCCGATACAGACAACTGGAGAACGCGGATCTCCTCCGCCATGGCAGTGATCTGTGCATCACGCTCCGCCGACGAGATGTGGTCTTGATTGACAATAGCGCGGGTGCGAATACGTTTGGCCTGGTCCGCATAACGCAGAGTCGAGAGAGTCTCCTCGTAGTCCGACGGCGCGATACAGGCAACCATTGCCGTTTTACTGTTCCCTCCCAAAGAATCCTTCAATAGCCACGTTAGGATCGAGTCTCTGTAAGGGACCACGTCCTTGCTCCGCTTTCTCGAGCCCGATTTGGCGTCCGCGAGCGCACCAATGACACGGCCGAGAGTGGTTAGGGACTTGTTGATGTTGCTTCCCTCGCGGAGGCGCTGACCCGTCGCCTCTGTCGCTTTGGCGC